CATTTATTTATATTTGAGAGACAGAGTGTGCGCAGGGGAGGGGCAGAGAGAGAAGGAGACACAGAATCAGAAGCAGGCTCCAGACTCCTAAGCCGTCAGCACAGAGCCCGACGCGGGGCTCCAACCCACGAACCGCGAGGTCATGACCTGAGCCGAAGTCGGACGCTTAACCGACTGAACCACCCAGGCGCCCCAGGAAAATATTTTCATATAGCTTAATCCTGAAGATACGTTGTGTTTAGGAATTGGTCAAGAGGAAATCTGAATCTTCAAACCTTTTCACAGTGCCTTTACATGCCCCCCGCTCCCCCTTCTGTCCCCATCTTTTACTGGGGAGTGGCCCAGAAGAGACCATTCCCTTTCTGGGACAGTGACACTTAGTAATCAGACCGCCTTACTCTAATGTACACATGCAGGGGGGTGAGGGAAGTGGGGTCAGGCTCATGGTCCTCTGTTGCAGACCATGGCTGATCTGGAACGCCAACCACAAGTCAGCAGCGGTGAGATGTTCCCGAGACAGATGGGGCCGTGGAGGGGTCACCAGGAGGGGTGGGCCGTCCTCTTGGAGCTTTGGGCAGGGGTCACATGTTGGTACCAGAAGCATCTTGATTTCACGTGGCCCATCAGAGCACCAACCCTTGATCGTGGGCAGCTCAGGCGACCCCGGCCCAGCCCACGCCCAGGTGGTTTCTGTGGCTAACATCCCTCCCAAGGGTCTGAATTCTTGCACCGGCTGCAGCTCCAGGCTGTGTTTGCGAGCCTCTGCCTGCATTCGGCGAGGCACTGCTCGTGCCATGGTTGGAACAGCCCTGGCGGACAGCGTCACATCCAGCTCGGAGTCCGGTGCAGGCACGTGGGGTCTGTGAGTCCAGGCTTCTAATGATGCGACTTCCCGGCCGGGCCGTGAGAGCTGTGCTGCAGACCCGGCATCGGCCCTGCTCCGAGGACAGTTTGAGGGCAAGGTGGAGGTGCGCAGCAGGGGTCCCTCCGGCCTCCCTCCGTGGGGTCCCATCGGGAAGCCCACCCTGGTCAAAGGTCCACCGTCCACAGCTTTTACCTTCCTGTGCAGTGAGCTTGAGCCTGACGTGTTCCTGTGTGAGTGGCTAGTTTTCTCTTTTTCCACGAATTGTTTCCGTATTCACTGGGTTGTTGTATGAAACCCGCGTTTCCACTACAGAATTCACCTTAAACTCAGAAGTGCGTTCGACTGTGGTTCAGGGTGTTCAGTTATCCTCAGGCGCCTGTGCCGGCCGCTGCTGCTGAGGAGATCGCTCACGGAACCGAAAGGGAAGCCAGCCTGCCTTCAGAGGGCAGCAGGGAGACTAGGTCTGGGGGGACGCAGAGGTGAGGGCACTGCCAAGGAGTGTGGGGCACAGCGGGCTGGGGTTCTGGGCCTCCTCGTTGCTGTGTCCTTGACATTTCAGGCCCGTCGTAAGGACAGATTTCTTAAGTTTCTGTGTAGTGTTGTACTTGTCCAGCTTTTTGATAGCCAATTAAGGTTATATTTTTAAACACAAGTGAAATATCAAGAACTAAAAGACCTTTATTAGTTTACTCTGAAGAACTCGGCTGTACATAATCTACATTTGTGGGTATAACTCACCCACGTACAATATTATTTGTGTTCATGTGATTCGGTGTGAAAAATAGACTAGCACATTTAGATGGTAACAAACTTAAGATGTGTGCTTTGGGGTTTTGTCTTATGTGTCAGTTATATGTGGGCACTTTAGGGCGTGTGGAGTCACCACACAGAACAAAAACGAGGTCCCTCTCCCCTGGGCCGTCTAGTGCCCAGTGCAGTCAGAGTCCCGTGTGCGTTTTGGTTTTGCCAAAGTCCAAACAGACGAGGAACTTTCCAGTGTTGTAAACTCTCTGTGATCTCCCAGTAAAAACTATCATGCACCATTAAAAACTTGAAATTTGTTTTCAACACATTTCACTTATTATAACATTAATAAAATTATATATAGAGAGAGCTTTAAAAACTAAACTTTCTAAGTCAGCAGACATACCTTTATAATTGTCTTAAAATGAGATGCTTAAGATGTTGTCTCTGGAGACTTAGCTATTTAAACTTCCGTGTTGCCAGTGAATGGAATATCCTAAACCATTTCTTTCCTACTTCAACCCCAGTTCTGGGAAAGTCGCTATGATGTGTGGATAGCTGAAGCCTTCCCGTACAGTCTTACAAATACAGATCATGGGGATGTGGTTCAGGCCCGTGGGAGAAATGCAACACGCTCGTGGCTGTAAGGAAAGCAGTTGTGTATAGCAAATGCAGTAGCTGCTAAAGAAAAGCATGTAAACAAATCTAGGATTTGCTAGGTTGTTTTCTAAAACTTCTGCGGAATTGTGAGCTTTACTTAAATCTCACTAAATTCTTTGGTACCCGCTAACTCCTAAATACTCACACACGGTCTGACAAAACTTCAAAGCATACAGATGGGAAGTATACCTTCGCCTTTAAACTTGGGCCCGTGGGGCAGCCGCAGGCGGTAGGTGTCGTGTAAGTATCGCCCACGTGCTTTTGACACACACCTGTCATTAAGCAGCAGCGGTGTGTTAGAATCAAGAGAAATGGCCACACCTCTGTTGAGCTCATGAATGATTTCTCTTAGCTGCCCTTCCATCCTGACCCGTAGAGTTGGCGCACGAAATACAGGAAATCGGCCACCGCTTTTGATAACAATACATGACAAACGTTAGTTGGTGATTGAAAATTTTCCATGTAACTTTACTTAATTATAGTGTAATTAATTCGGATATTCTGTATTCCAGGACCTTTTTTCGATCAGTGCTTATGTTTATGCTCAGAAGCCACAACTGGATATTCACAGTTTTGAAGGCACCTTTACCAGGGTAAGTTAAGTCTTTTGTTAAATACAAATATATTCATCGTGCATACAAGTTAAAAATAGCAAACCTTACATTTGAAAGAGTACTTAGAGAATTAACACAGAAGTTTTGAACTGAAGCGGGAAAGCCTAGAGAATGTTTCCAGTTCTCAAATCTCCATGTATCCAGTCTCCGTGTGGGATGCGCTCACGACCGTGTTTCTGTTTAGCATATTTACTCTGGAAGAGGCCTTCACCCTGAAAATACTAGGAGTCAGTAAGATGAAGTCTGAAATTGCTATTTCAGCTTTGACTCTGTGTTACAGTTAATACACTAGAATAGCCACATCGTCGCCTGATTTTAGTAAGTGGGTGCGTGGATGGGCGTGTGCGTGTGCATTTGCTCACATAGACGCATGCGTTTCATTGAACTCCCTTTTCAGTGTTGAGGTGTTTTACTCTATCTTGAAGTCCCTTCTCCCCAGAGAGTCCTATCCCCTATTTGATAGGATTTGGACGACTCAGTAACTTTGGATTTAGCAGCTTACACTGATACTATAAATGCCTTATAAAAATTAAGGGGTTTTAGTACATGACTGGAGTTTACTTTTAATTGGTGCAGTTGTTGTACAAAGATTTCTGTTGGTGCAGTCAGCGTCGTTTCATTCTTGGTCACACACCAGGTGAGCAGGTGTCCTTGTTGAGAAAGCACTTACTGCGTGTCAGACGATGGGCAGATTGTGGGAATGCAAACAGGCGTGCCTGTGGGGAAGATGGTCATTGTTCTGTAACTTTGTTATTACATGTGCTTCAGTGAGAAAAGCATGTTCGAATTGTTGGTGGAGACACATGAGGAAGTGTATAATGAGATCTGGAGAAAACCAAGATCTTTCTGTGTTTTTGCAAAAATATTTATGGAAAAAAGCACTTCTAGTTAAAGACGAGTTGGCACATGTGAGAAAAAGCCTGATGAAAGGGCTTCATTAGCACAATAAATTAAGAGTTATTAGCTTAGCCACTGTTAATATTTTGGAAAATGATCTGCTGTCTTCTTTCCTGGTTCCCAGCTTTGTCTTGCTTACCGCTTGCTAAGGAATCACACCGAGTTCCGTGCGAGTGTGCGAGAGTGTGGCCGAACACAACCAGGCTGCAAAGCGCAGTTCACGCGGTGCGTGGCGGAGTGTGAGACTGAGCGTGTGTGCGCGCGCGAGTGAGTGTGCGGGGTGGGGGAAAGAAGGGTGGGGAAGGGCGGCCAGGTTCCATCCCAAAGGTCTGGTCGAAAGAAGGAAGAGGCCGTTTCAGGATTTCCAGCTTAGAGAGGATGACATTGGTGTTTGTAAAAGATCCCAGGCAGTCACGTGCATTTATGTCCCCCCGGCCTCCCCGGACCGAACAGGCCGCACGCTTGGGAGAAGGAAAAGACTGCAAACTGCACTTTTCTGTAAGGAGAGGTGTCCAGAATGGCAGGGTCTGCCCCAGAGCCAGGGCGCCACACGGGGGGTTGCTCTCAGGCTTTTGACTTCATCAAGGCCACGGTTCACCCAAGTTACGTGTACTTCGTGTGAATTCTGGCACGTTCTTGATACGCGTGGTTCAACCACCCGCCTTCCGCTGTCTCCTTTGGGTGTTTCCAACAAGATTTTGTTTCACGCCGTTCAGATACGTCGTCGCGTTCTGGGTTGTTTAAGGAGAAAAATTGTCATTCTTGTGTGCGTCTTTCCAAAAGGAGGAAAGAAAGAAACCGTGTTGAGTAACTGGTTTCGCCACCAGAAAATGGAATTCATCAGTTTAATTACTGAAGTATAAAGTCAACATTTGAAGAAGTGATACCTGCTTAGATTCCTTTTTCAGAGCGTGATACACAGAGGAAAAAATACACGCTTTGTATCAGCCTAAGTAATTAAATAAGAATCAGGGCAAATTAATTCACGTGCCCTGTGGCAGTGCATGTATTACGTGCTTTGCTGCCTACGCGGAGTCTGGTCGTCGCATTGTGAGTAATGTCAGGATGGCCTCAGCTGCTCACTGTGTGACATTCTGAGTTACAGAAATGATTCGTGTCATTATTAGTGGCACAACCGATTTGCTTATTGTTCAGGACCAAGCAATTCTCTCTGAAGTTTAGAGTTTAAAAGTAGCCAGTTTTGAAATAGTAGCAATGTTTGTGGGCCATTAACACCATTCAAGCTTCTTTATAAATACGTTTTCTGCTGTAATTTCTTAGAACCAGAGCACACGTCCTTGTTCAGGTCTCTTCCAGTCAAAATACTCCCCTTCTAAAAAGCAAATTTCTATTGTTTGCTAAATGTGGAAAAAACAGCCTCAAATGGTATCCTTTTGGTTTCTCCCTCCCCAAAGCAAATTTCATCTTGGCAAACTGTAACCTTAAGGAGGCGGAAACCCGGGGAGAAAGTTCCTCGGAGATCGTTTCTTTCCCATCCTCCCAGTGTTTATTCTGTCCTGTGTGAGATTGGTAAAGAGCTATGTCTTACAGTAGTTCTCTTGATATTAGAAAAAGTTTAAAGTCCTTCAGCGTTATCCAGAATTGAAACTGCATAAATACCGTGCTGTTCACGCACAATTGTGAGAGAAAGAGACTGGTGCGTTCACATGATTAGATAGTCGTGGAAACGTGGAGGGAGAGCCGGCTTAAACTTCCGAAACGGAATGGCACAGAACCTTTCTCTGCAGTTTAGGTAGATGGCCTGTGGGTCGTGCGGAGTTTTTAATGCCCTTACTCCTCTCGGGTCTGACGCAGCAGGGGACACCGTACCAGGCGACCTGCAGCGGCACGCGTGTTTAAACCTGCCTCCGTCGTCGTCAGGGAGCCGGAAGGGTGGCAGACCGCTGCGGTCGCACTGTGGTCCTTGCGCGGCCGCGGGCGGACTGGCAGCTGCAGGCGGGCGGCCTGGAGGAGGAGGAGGAGCGGAGCCGCGCAGCAGAGGCCGGACGGCCGAGGGTCCTCACGGGCGCGCCTGGGGAGGGGCTCCGCGTTCCTTTGCTGTCTGACTTAACTCACTTACTGGACCCACGGGGACGCCTGCTCCGTGCTCGGAAGGTCAGGGTCACCACCGTGGTTGCCTAGATAAGCATAGCAGTTGCCATGAGGCAGTGGAAATGAGTCAGAGTTCATATTAAAAAGTGTCCGTTTCACAGCTTAAATGATAAGTGTGTGAGGCGGCACTTGGCAGGATTTATCCAGGTTGTATGCTCGGTTTGCTCGGTTGTGGCTGAAATGCCTAGATGAACAGATCATTAAAGGATGTGCTACGTGGACCATATTTGGGAAGCAGGAATGAGACTAACAGTTTTCTGTCTGACGGTGCCTGTCAGAGTCGGATTCTGAGACCATCTCTGAATGAGTCGGAAGTCAGTCCTTCCAGTTCAGTTACAAGTTCAAGTACGAAACAGTTGATGCATAGACGCCACCTACTTCTCCTGAAAGTTGATGCTCTTTCCGTAAAATCATGAAGGTCAAAGGGAAAACTCCGTTTTCTTGGGCTGTTCATTTCTCAGGCAATTGTCATCTCTACTTTGAACGGCTACTCTGCTTATAAAAACGGGCCCACAGGGGCGCCTGGGTGGCGCAGTCGGTTAAGCGTCCGACTTCAGCCAGGTCACGATCTTGCGGTCCGTGAGTTCGAGCCCCGCGTCGGGCTCTGGGCTGATGGCTCAGAGCCTGGAGCCTGTTTCCGATTCTGTGTCTCCCTCTCTCTCTGCCCCTCCCCCGTTCATGCTCTGTCTCTCTCTGTCCCAAAAATAAATAAACGTTGAAAAAAAAAAAAATTAAAAAAAAAAAAAAAAAAAACGGGCCCACGTGGCAGCCTGGCATTTTCCTGTGGAAGAAACAAGCAGTGGCACTGGGGTACCCGAGGCACAGGGCTGGAATATGCTGATGGGTCGTAAGAACCCCAGGCTGCGGTGTCTCACCCGAGCGTGGGCTCTGCTTAGACACCCCACGTGTTTGAACGAGTCGAATCGAATGAACTCTCCTCTTCACACGGGGTGTAACTGAGGCAGCAGTAAATGCCCACCCACCTCGGCTCTTGAAACGAGTGGGTTGTTAGGAAACGGCAGCCACCTGTGTTCTGAACCCTGCACGGCACCCGGGTCTGGAGGCTGAGAAGACTTCTGTGTCCGGGGGTAGCTTTCTTCTTGCGGTGACGTAAAGCAGTGAGGGGAGACACGGAACATAGTGCTCGGATCGAGGAGGCCGACCGGCTGCTGACACGTGTTGCTGTCGCGTGCCTGCGAGGCACCTGTGGGTGGAGCCCCGTCCCTGGACTAAACCTAAGTCCCGGCATGTCACCTGACAAATATTTGCAGTACTAGGGGACATATTCTGGAAACTGTTAGGTTGGTTTAGATTTTGTGCCTCACGAATAAATCATAGAATCAGTTATATTAGAGAACCAAATATCTAGAAAGTATATTCCATGTAATTAGCAAAATGGCCAGAATTTATATCACTTCAAAATGGTTTGATCAGTGAATAGAAGGAAAACACCAGTAGCATAAACCTCTTGTTTCTTACATTCATTTTGTTTGTTTGTTTATTTTTTGAGAGAGAGAGAGAGAAAGAGAGAGAGAGAGAGAGACGGAGTGTGAGTGGGGGAGGGGCAGAGAGAGAGGGACACTAGGAATCCGAAAAAGGCTCCAGGCTCTGAGCTGTTAGCACAGAGACCGACCTGAGGCTCGAACTCACCAACTGCGAGATCATGACCTGAGTCGAAGTCGGACACTTAACCGACTGAGCCACCCAGGCGCCCCTCGAGTTAATTTCTAAATATTTTATTATTTTTGCTGCTAGGAGGAATCGTTTTTATAATTTACTTTACAGATTGTTCACTGTGAGTGTATATAAATGCAAGTCATTTTTGTGTGTTGCCTGTGTATCCTGCTACTTTGGTGAATTCGTTTGTTCAGTCAAAGAGTTTTCTTGTGGAATCTTTAGTGCTTTCTACTTTTAAGGTCATATCATCTGTAGACAAGTAATTTTACATATTCTTACCCATATGGCTTTTATTTCTTTTTCTTGCATGATTGCTGTAGCTTGAACTTCGAGTACTGTGTTCCAAAGTGAATAGATACAGTGAAGGTAGGCATCCGGATGAAAAGGTTTCAGTCTTTTACCACCTGGGGTGATAGTCTCTGTGGCCTTTTCATGTATGGCTTTTACTTTTACTTTTTAAATTTGTTTATATAAATTCAAGTATAATTAATTAACATACGGTGTAGTATTGGTTTCAGGAGTGGGACCCAGTGATTCAGCTCCTGCATGCAACACCCATGCTCATCCCAACAAATGCCCTTAATATGGCTTTTATTTATGTTGAGGTAGTTCCCTTCTCTTCCTAGTTTGTTGAATTCATTTTTTTTTTAATCATAAAAGGGTATTGAATAGGTGCTTTTTCTTCATCAGTTGGGATGTTCATGGGGATTTTTTTCCTTCATTCTGTTAACGTAAGGTATGACATTGATTGGCTTATATTTTGAACCAACCTTGCATTGTGCTTGGTCATACTGTACAATCCTTTTAATATTTTGCTAAATTCTATTTGCTAGTATTACAAGATTCTTGCATTAGTGACCATAAAGGATATTGATCTCTAGTTTATTATTCTTGTCATGTCTCTGTCTGGCTTTGGTACCAAGGTTGCACTGGGTTTATAGAGTGAGTTAGGAGATGTCCCTCCTCATTAATGTTTTGGAATAGTTGGAGAAGGATGGAAATTAGTTTTTCTTTAAATTCTTGGTATATTTCACCAGTGAAGTCATTGGATCCAGGGTGTTTCTGTATCAGATTTTTTATTATTGATTCAGTCTTTTAACTAGATGTAGGTCTCTTCTCATTTTCTAGTCATGATTAGCGTTGGGAGGTTTTGTGTTTCTAGAAATTCACACATTTCATCAAATTTCTTGGCACACAGGTGTTAATGTATTCTCTTATAATTTTATTAATGTAGAATTGTAGCGGTGTCCCCACCTTGGTTTCTGATTTCAGTAATTTGAGTAGTCTTCTTTTTTTCTTAGTCCATCTAGCTAAGGGTTTGCCGATTTTGTTGATGTTTTCAAAGAACCAACTTGTGGTTTCATTCATTTTTTTTGAATTTTTTATTTAAAACAAATTTTTTTAACGTTTATTTTTGAGAGAGAGAGAGAGAGAGAGCACAGAGGAGGGGCAGATAGAGAGGGAGACACAGAATCCGAAGCAGGTTCCAGGCTCCGAGCTATTAGCACAAAACCCGACGTGGGGCTTGAACTCATGAACCAAGAGATCATGACCTGAGCCAAAGTCAGACACTTAACTGACTGAGCCACTCAGGCGCCCCAGCTTTCATTCGTTTTTTAAATTGTTTTTCTGTTATTTATTTCATTTGTCTCTGTTCTCATCTTTATTTTTTCCTTCCTTCAGCTAGCTTTGGGATTAGCTTATTCTTTTTCTAGTCCCATAATTGTAAGGTTAGGTCATCGATTTGAGAGCTTCCTCTTTTTTAATATAAGCGCTTCTCGCAGTCAGTTTCCCCCTTAGCACCACTTACGTTGCACTTCGTAAGTTTTTGCAAGTTGTACTTTCAGTACCATTTGTGTCTAAGCATCTCTTAATTTCCTTTGTGATTTCTTCTTAATTCATTCGTTGTTTAAAAGTGTTTAATTTCCACAATTTTGTGAATTTTCTGTTACTGATTTCTAACTTTATCTCATCGTGGTTGGAGTAGATACTTCATATGATGATCTGTTGAGACTTCATTTGTAACATAAGGTCTGTCCTGGGAAATGTCCCGTGTTCACTTGAGAAGAATGTGTTTGCCATTCTGGGTGGAGTGTTCTGTATGTCTGTTAGATCTAGTTGGTTTATTGTGCTGAGTTTTCTATTTACTTACCTGTGGCTGGTGGTTCCAGCCGTAATTGTGAGTGGGATACCGGGGCCATAATTGTGAGTGGGTACTGGGGCCACGATTGTGAGTGGGATACCGGGGCCATAATTGTGAGTGGGTACTGGGGTCTCTAACTATTACTGCTGAGCTGTCTGTTTCAATACTCATAAATTCTGTCAGTTTTTGCTTCATATATTTTTATAGTTTTTGTTAGATGCACAGTTTATAATTTTCCTGCCCTATTGAACATTTAATAATATAAAATGTCTCTTGTAACCTTTTTTGATTTGATATTTATTTTGTCTGATGTTCCTGTGGCCGCATCTGCTTACTTTGCTTACTATTTGCATGGAATACGTTTCTCATACTTTTCACTTGCAACCTCTTTGTGTCTTTGGATGTAAAGTGAGCCTCCGCACGTAGACACCATAGAGTTGGCTCATGTGTTTTTATCCATTGTGCCAATCTCTGTCTTTTGATTGTTGAGTTTAATCCATTGATACTTGAAGTAATTACTGAAAAGAAGGGACTTCCTTCTGTCATCGTTCATTTTTTTCCCACATGCCTTGTAGGTTTTTTGTCCCTCATTTCCTGCATTACTGTCTTCTGTTGTATTTAGTCGGTTTTTGTAGTGAAACGTTTGAATTTCTCATTTCCTTTTGTGTATATTCTATAGCTGTTTTCTTTGCGGTTACCATGGGGATTACATTTAGCATCCTAAAAGATATAATACTCCAGTTTGAATTTGTACCAACTTACGTTCAATAGCATACCGAGGCTCTGCTTCTGTATGGCTCCTTCCCCTCCCTTGTGTTTGCTGATGTCACACAATTACCTCTTTATGTGTTCTGTGCCTGAAAGCATAAGCTAATAATTCTCCTAACACCAGCCTCTTAAGTAATGTAGAAAACAAGATTTGGAAGTACAGACCAAAGTGACAATACTAGCTTTTGTGTATGAGTTTCCTCAATTGCATAGAGAACAAAAAGGGCAGCTCCCAACCACGTTATGATAACACTTGCTTTTATAATTGCCTATTTGTCTTTATTGGGGTGTTACTTCTCCGTGTATGTTCCAGTCACGGCGTCCCGTCCCTTCCCTGCAGGGCCGCCCGGCACAGGTCTTGCGGGAGAGGTCCAGCGCTCACACGCTGTCTTAGCTTTTGTTTGTCTGGGAAGGTGTTGATGTCGCCCTCACGTTTGAAGGACAGATTTGCTGGATCTAGGGTTCTTGGCTGACGTGCGCGTGAGTGTGCGTGCGTGTGCATGCGTGTGGCTGTGTCTGTTTTCGAGCACTTTGAATCAGTCAGCACACTGCCTTCCGGCCCCCCAAATTTCTAATGAAAAATCTGCACACAGCCTTATCGGGGGCCCCTTGTGTGTGATGGTCTGCTGCTGCCGCTGCCGCTTTTTTTTTAAACTGCTTGCAAGATTCTCTCTTTGTCGTTGTCTTTTAGAAGTTTTGTTCCAACGCGTCTCTGTGGGTTTCTTTGAGTTCATCTTGCTGGATATGGTTGAACTTCTGCAGGGTTTACTTTCCCGTCTTCCAGCGGATTCGGGGTGTTTTCACCCATTGTTTCTTCACGTGTGTTCTCTGCCCTTTTCACTGCGTCCTCCCCTTTCAGGATCCCACGATCCGTTTATGGGTTTGGTCCCTGGGGCCCCACAGTCCGTCAGGCCTGTTAATTTTCCTCAGCGTGTTTTCATTCTGTTTCTCAAACTCGGTCCTTTCTGTTGCTCTGCTTTCGGGTTTGCTGACCCCCCTGCCTCATCGCATCTGCCGTGAATCTTCAGGGAAACTGTCATTTCAGTCATTGGACTTTCCAGCTCTGAGGTGTCTTTTGGTTTCTTTTGGGGTTTCCTATCTCTGTCGATAATTTACATTTTGTTCACACACTGTTTTCTTGGCTTTCTCCACATCTTCATTTCTTGGAACCTATTCGGTACTTTTCTTTTAAAGTCTTTGTCTAGTGTATCTGACGTCAGGTCTTTCTCAGGGATAGTTTCTCTTGATTTGTAATTTTTCCTTTTAATCGGCTGTCGTTTTCTGAGTTGTTTTATTTATATTTTTTAATGCCTTGCTATTGTTGAAACTGTTTTTTGTTTTTTTTTGTTTTTATTTTTTTTTTAATATAGTAATGTGGTAACTCTAGAAGGCAAAATCTCTCCCTTCCTCAGGTTTTGCTGGGTTTTTAGTCATTGTATTGGTTTATTTTAATTATTACAGACTGTCTCTGTGCCGGGGGTCAGCCTACATTTAATGTCTTCTCAGGTCTTTTCCGAGCCTTTCCCTGGGCCTGCACGGTCACTTGCTGGTTTTTCCCCCCCCATGTGTGCAGTTGTTCTGGAATGTCCTAGTCTTTAACGTGTGGCTCCCAAAAGAGGAAAAGTGGAAAACAAAAGGGGGATAAGAGGGCACTTATCCCCTTGAAGTCACTCGAGCTGGAGCTGGAGGGGTGACAGCAATGGCCGCCAGCCTCTGAGTCCGCACCTGTGTGGTCAGAGCATGGCCTCCTGCCGTTTGGGGGACAGGGTCCTTTTCGTCCACCTGGCTTCTGCGGGCCGCTCCAGAAACACGTGCCCGGCTGCCTGCCCCATGGCTGGGGCGCGGGACGGGTAGGTGCTGCTGTGCTGCGAGCTGGAATGGACCAAAATCGACGACTTCTCCCGGACACGTGGCAGGCTTCGGGCAGAGTCCACAGTTCTAAAGCAGTCCCATCACACAGGTTCCGCCCCTGCTGTTGTCATCTGGGGGGGGAGAGATTCCCGGGGCCCCTGCTCTGCCGTCTTCCCAGAATCCCCTGTCTAAAGTCCCTCATTGTTCACTTTATTTTGCAGTGCGTCCCAGCGCTCAGTAAGTGCGCCGGCTTGTGCACTCGGGTTTATCACTGTGGATATCTAACATAAAAAAGTCGCTAACTTGCTGTTTTCTTCCTTTTCTGTCTGAACAGGAAGACAGTGACCCGCCCATTCACGAAAGTCTCAGCATAGAAAATACACTGTGGGCGAACACCATTGTGGCGTCAGGTAAGAAGTAAGCTCTTACGTTAGCGTGGACGCTCACACACGGGAGATTCTGCACAGTGTCTCTGGAAGTGCCTGTCCCACACGGGGACCTTAACAATATGCCCTGGGGGCCGGGGGCAGGCCCTGGGGCTGTGCGTCCCAGGCCAGCGCTGGCTGTGGCCTGTGTGCCACCTGGCATGTTCAGTCTGAGGGGCAGGGCCCAGAGCCGCCGCGAGCAGTGTGCCTGCCCTCTGTGCCTCGGGGCAGGGGCGCTCTGCTGGCCGTGACGACTCTCTTCGGCAACCCTGTCGGTGCCCCCGGGGCGCGTGGTCCTTACCGAGAGGCGGCGGGACAGGGCCCGGGGCGCGTGGTGGCCTTTGAGGGATCTTCCAACTCCTCCTCAGTCATCCGCAGAATTCATAGGAGGCCACTGTGGTGGGTTGAAGAGTATTAGATGAGGCAGGGGGGACCTTGGGATGTAGTTCATGTTGGGCCTTTGGGGGCCAGGGTAAAGGTCCTTCACTTTTTTTGAGTGAAAGTGGAGGATGTTGGAGTATTCCTAGTGGCTGAACAGGAGGGTCACCTAAATTTACGTTTCGGAAAGTGAAGATCTCTGGAGTATTGAAATCTAAATGATGATCAGCTTTCCAGAAAAGTAGTCGACTTGCCAGTGGTAAGTGGGACTGAATCTGAGAAGCAGGAAGCCTGAAGGATGCTGGTAGGGGTGGGGAGGCCAGGGCGCGATCAGGGGAGGGCTGTGTGTCTTACCTGTGGCCCGACGCTGGCCGCCCTCCTGTCTGGGAGCTCAGTCGCTCTTCTGGTGGTTTTGTAAGAATCCCTCTCAGGGCCGGGTGCCGGTGATGCAGCGTGGGGCGGAGTGCTTACGGGTCCTGGCCTCGGGCGCTCACGGGCAAGGAAGAGAGACTCTGCTAAAGTGAGGCCGCCACGTCAAGCTGTGTGAAGTACCACAGGGAAGGAGAGGGTGCCCCGAAATCATAGACGCCTCAGTCCTTACCTGGTGAGAGCAGAGGGGGGGCTTAGATTGAGGAATAGACCGGTGCAGCGGGCGAGGGGGCGGAAAGGTGTGGGAGGATTCTTGTCGCACCCGCAGCCGCTTGAGGGCCTGGTGCCCCGTGGGCCGAAGAGGGTGATGCCCGCGTGCCTGGCGCACGGAGAAGAGACGGCCACACACGCAGGGCGGTTCTGTGCGCGTGTGCGCGAGGGCCTGTGTGGGCACGTGTTCACCTTTTAGGGAATGGAGGGTCAACCGGGACTTCGCTATACACATGTCCCAGAAAAAGGGTGACGGCATACAGGACAGTTTTCATAGAAATTCCATGAGCTGTTTCAGGATTTTCATACTGATGGATTTTAAAAATCTCCTCAAAATAAAGAGAAAGAGGAAGTAAGGATGGCACGCGTAGGAGAGATGCGGGGGGTGTAGGCCAGGTCTCGGGCCGTGTAGGCCTCGGGGAGGGGAGACTCACGGTGCCCCTGGAGTCACCGTGGAGGGGGCACCGTCACCAGGAGAGATCTCCGAATCCTGTGCTCACGCTTCCTCCGCATGGCTGTTTCCTGTTCACCTCACTGACCCCCGAGGATCACCCAGCCTCACCTCGTTCGTCTCGCCGCACGGGCCACGGACTGTGGCTCAGAGAGGCCCACGTCAGCGTGGTCACGCGGCCAAGCTGTCGCAGGGTCAGGATTTGAATCCGGGTGGCTGTCCTCCACAGCGGTCACCCTTCAGCCCGTAGCATTTTATGGTTTGTAGACAAATATTTACAACATACCACACGTTAGCTAAGGTTGGTCACGGATTTTACATTTTCTCTGTCTGGAGTTAGGTTCTGTTTTGTTCCCGTCATATTGAAGACACTCTTTTTAAACCATTCATTTTATGTGATCCTGTGTTTCCTGCATGTTGGCCCGTGGCCCGTCTCCCCACAGACAGAGAAGCGCCCGACCGGAAGGCTCGTTCCCTGTACCCGCCTTCCTGCCCTCTCTCCAGGTGACCTTTCACCGGTGGCCCCTGCTTGCGCGCCCTGGCGGTGCGCGCATTAGGCATCAGATACGCTTGCCGTCCTGAGAACCGTTTCTTGCCCCATGATGTGCAGACTTCAGTTTGCCCGGGGTTATTTTGTCTTCCAAGAAAGTATTTCTGTCGCTCTAAAACCATCCGTTCAGAAAAATTTAAATAAGACACATCTAATTTTAATTTGTGTTTGGACATTTAAAAAATGCCAACTGTTTTCATTAATTTGAAATATTTTAAGACATCCTTACCTTAGTTTAAAAACCTTAATAACGTGAGCAATTAAGGGCTCGTGTCTTCTTTATAAATACTTGATTACAAGTTGAGAAGGAAAGATTGGAATTTTTTTAATCTTATTTTTTTAAATGTTATGTGTCAACGGGATTCAGGTTGCCTCCTGTGTGAAGTGAACACGGACCTTCCTCCCCGGCCCTGGGGTCCTGATGCGTGGGGTCGAGGACTCGAGTTAACAACACAGAGGACCCGAGGACTGAGGGTCCCACAAGAGGGGCAAACACAGATGCTCATGGGCCGCCCTCTTCCCCTTGTAGGATTCGTAAACGTCATTTCTCCAGAGCGGAGTCATGTCCCAGAGAGCGGCCGTGGTAGCCAGTGTTGAGCACACTTAACTGCCAAGAGCCTGGAAGCAGAGATGTGCGTCTGGGGCAGGGCTGCTGGGCGTGTGCGCAGACGGAGGTCTAGGGTGACCCCCCCCCCGGGCAGGGCTGCTGTGTGCAGACGGGGTCCAGGGTGACCCCCCAGGGCAGGGCTGCTGCCAGTGTGTGCAGATGGGATCGACCCAGACTTCCCGGGCAGGGCTGGGCTGTGTGTGCAGACGGGGTCTAAGGTGACCCTCCCAGAACCCCGGGCAGGGCTGCTGGGCGTGTGTGCAGACGGGGGTCTAAGGTGACCCCCCCCTCCCCGGGGCAGGGCTGCTGGGCGTGTGTGCAGACGGGCGGTCTGGTGACCCCCCGCCCTCCCGGGGCAGGCTGCTGGCGTGTGTGCAGAGCGGGGTCCAGGTAACCCCAGGGCAGGGCTGCTGGGCGTGTGTGCAGATGGGGATCCTGGGTGACCCCCCCAGGGCAGGGCTGCGGAGCGTGTGCTTAGACAGGGGTCAGGTGACTCTTTGAGGACAGGGCTGATGGGTGTGTGTGCACACGGGGGTCCAGGGTGACCCCTTTGGATATGAAGTAATTCAGTGTCAAAAGAATTTGGACATATATATTGTTTTTGGTTTTTGGTTGTTTCATTTTTCTTGGTAATTTTGGGCACGGCGATTTCTAAAACTAGTCCTCATGACAGATTAGAAATTTGAAAATCAAACCTGTCCCTTTAGCATGCATGGTTTGTGAGGCTCCTGCTGCAGAGAGGTTGGTGGATTAGAACTGGGGTGGCAGGAGAAGCTGTCCCCTAGGGTCCACTGGAGGGACCCGACCCGGAGAGCTCTGGTGGTGGTGAAGCACTGCTACAGCGGGGGTACCGCAGGGACACGCCAGCACACAGTTCATCGCTCCCAGCGAGGGCTGGGAGTTGCTGCTTCTCAAACCTTGCGTGTCATGGGGCGGGCGGTCTTGGCAGCTAGGAGGTGGGGGAGGCAACTCTGCCCTCCCTTCCGGCCCATCCGATCCCCACCCCCCCGACTGTGTGCACAGCTGGTGGAGCCCAGACCTGGTGCGGGGCACAGCAGCAGCTGCGTCCCTGGCCTCGGTCTCTCCGTGTGCATCCGGGTGGGGTCTGGCACCTGGGTCCCCAGCACCCTCGGCCGCTGGCCAGAGTCTTTGCCGTCCCCACCATCCTTGGCACGCGGAATCGCTGTAGCGGATGGGCAGCCCGTGCTTGGGGGTTTGTGGAGACGGGTGCCGGGAAGGTGGTTTTCACACTGACCCGGCAGGTTCCTGACTGATAGTGCACAATGGCTCTCTGGGTCCGTCTGTCTCTACGACATGGGATCCTTGTCAGACTTTCTGATGCCTGTGCTCTGTTGTGTCCCCTCCCTGGTCTCATGATATCCCCTTCCCCACACGCACACTGTTGCCACGTATACAGGGCGTATGCGACCTCTTAGCCCATACCGGTCCGTAACTAGGTGCCATTTGTCAATGAGAGTGGAGCGTCTTCCAAATACTTCGTGCTGATTTGAGTAACGTTAGCAGTCAGAGCGCGTGACAGGCTCAGAAGAAAATGCACTCCGCACGGAGGACTCATTTCTGTTGAGCATGAAATGAGGTAACACACACGAGAGCCTTCGCCAGACTTGAGTAGATTATGCAAGTAAGATTACACGAGGACTCTGTTAAATACTCACCACGTGTGGGGGATGTGGCCCGCAGACTCCGATTCTGTGCGAGGGCTGTGTGTGTCTGATTGTGTACGGTGCCTGTGTGTGTCTGATCCTGTATGGTATCTGTGTAAATCTGAGTGAATTGTTCCTTGTTAGCTTTCACTATTTCTCATATTTTGATGCTTTTAACTGTGATGCCAGCCTAGAGTCAACATTGCTAATAATTTGTCTGGATTTTAGGACAGGTTTTGTAGCCTGATTAATTTTTTTGTCCTGAGACTTGTTTGTTCTGCTAATATTAAAAATAATTTTGTAGTTTGTCTTGTTTTTTTGTTTTGCTTTTTTAACATTAGCTTATTTAACGGTAGACACTTTCATTTTTTAAATTTTTTTCTTAAAAAAAATTTTTTTTTAATGTTTATTTATTTTTGAGAGAGACAGAGACAGAACACGAGCAGGGAAGGGGTAGAGAGAAAGGGAGACAAAGAATCCAAAGCCGGTTCCAGGCTCTGATCTGTCAGCACAGAGCCCGACCCGGGACTTGAACCCACCAAATGTGAGAGCATGACTTGAGCTGAAGTCGGACACTTAACCGACTGAGCCACCCAGGTACCCTGTGATATTAGACACTTTCATATTTTGGTTAAGTTAAACTTGATGGGCAAAAAAGGGAGAAAATCCTGATCTGGTTAGATTGAGCCTTTGGTTCACTGACTAAAGAACGTCTGATGTGTTGGTTTTGAAAGTCCCTTCCGGTCCGGTCGCACTGTGTATGTGCTGTGTCCCCACGCGCTGCGTACAGGGCTGCTGTCCGAAGTGTGTCTGGGTAATACCGCGGGAAGGTAGCCTGTGTGCAGTTTGGGCCAGCCTTCATGCTGCACGGGGGTCACTGTTTTCGGGACACGGTAAATTCGAGCCTCACAGCTTTCCGGATGGCACACAGTTAAAAGTGGGAGCGGGGGCGGGGGCGGGGGGATGCTTATTTTCAAATAAAAATGTGTAACCTCTGCAGATACGACCGCTGAGGTCCTGTGCCATCTCCCGCCTCCCTGAGCGCTCTGCGGAGGAGACCGGTCGCAGGGTCGCACGAGTAACTTGCAGCTTTCTGTTCGCGTGCACCCAGGGGCTCACTAAGATCACGTGCGCTCCGTGGGTCCTAATGACTCGCGACATTTCACACGTTACGGTAGCGTGACGTCACAGAGTTTTTGTATCACCGTCGTCTCCGTGAGTCCTGCTCGGCAGCTGCGGACGTGACCGTCCCCTCACCTTAATCGCTTCTCACCGCCAGAACGTACGAAGACCAGAAAACCGGGAATGTAAATGATGCCCGGCTGCAGTTTAGAAACAGACTTGAAAGGGCTTTCGTTTGACGTTGCGGAGGCGAGTGCCTCTGAGCCTTTCGGGGGCTGTTCCAGGGGTGTTTCTTCATTCTTCTGCCTCACGCTTGACAGGCCACAAAATGATCGCGTGCGCTTAGGAAACCACACCTCCAGGGGACGTGAATAAAAAAGACTAACGATATCCGCGTTCAAAATCAAATAATTTGTGCGTAATTGTCTCTCACTGCTTTAATTGTATCTGTGCTGGAGCGTCAGCAGAGGCTCCGACTCGCGGTCCTGCCCGAGCCCCTCGTGCGGGGAAGGTGGCTCAGCCGGTGCCGTCCGGGGGCGTGGGTCCCGGGACGCAGCCTCTCCTCACGTACCTCCGGCACCGGCAGACGGGAATGGATGAGGGGCCACCCTTTCCCTTGACGGCAAAAAGCATAGTCGTACATTTTCTAGTGTGCGTAGGCGTTGCTTGAAGATTCGTTTGAGTTGTATGTTGAATGGAGTTTGTTTTGAAGTTGAGACTAGACTTTCCTGAACTAGCCCAGTCAAATACGCTGTTGGATAAGTTTATATAAAATTAAGTAGCGAATAATATTTTCCATCAAGACCGTTGATTAGAAAGTGTTCTCTGTGCTCACTCTGAGGCCTCTCGGTAAGGACCGCTCTCGTGTTTTTGCAGGTACTGTAATAGGTGTTGTCATTTATACGGGAAAAGAGACTCGAAGTGTAATGAACACATCCAATCCAAAAAATAAGGTAGGCTAGATTAAGGAGCGGCTGCTTTAATGACTTGATTTTCCCTTTCAGTAAGAAAGTGCTGCGCTTCTGAAGAGCTGGTTTGCTTGGGCTTAATATGTCCCGTAAAAACACACTTCCAGAGATGGTGGTGATTCCAGATGTGAACTGTCTGTACTTGTGTCACAGCATGCTCAAACTGAACAGCTTCCGACAGTGTCTTTTCTTGCTTAATCAGAGGCGTTTATGTCTCTTAAGTTTTCTCTGTTGGACATAAAATTTGCCTGTAATTTGATGGTTAATTGTGGGTCTCTTCAATTTATTTATTTTATAATTTGTTTTAATTTTTTGTCTCGATGGTTCATTTTTAAAATAAAAGAATCTATATTAACATGTTACAGTATTTAATTTGATAGTATGGCATGGTTAAACTTGTTTTATTTAAGTTACTTTCATCGCATAAGAAGCATATTGAAAATCAGATTTTAGTTTTAAAGACTGCTTGATTATATTTCTAAATTGATTGTATTTGTTATATTCCTAAAATTATTATTTATGTAGTCAGCATGTGTGTGTAAGTTAGATTGTAACGAAAAGTTTGAATTGTTAGCTGTTATTTGGATAATACATGTTGTATGTGCTGATGCCTGCTTTATGAGAAGTTCATGCTAACTGTGCATTTTACTCATTTTTTATTTGAAATATAATTGGAGGTGTGTCTAAGAACAAAAAAAAACCACTCTTCGTGGATTCATACCTTGCTTTGTGAGTAATAGAAAAAGTTAACTTTCGTTGGAATTTTTAGTACAAAGCAACAGAAGTGAAATAATTCTTTGAGGAGATATTTTAAAGGATAAGATGTGTTTCTTCTTTTCTTCTTTCTTTTTTTAGCTGAATACTGTTTTAAAAAAAATAGTTAACCCTTCTGGAGCACCTGGGTGGGGCTCAGTCAGTTGAGCATCAGACTCTTGATTTCGGCTCAGGTCATGATCCTCACAGTTTGTGGGCCCGAGCCCTGCGTAGGGCTCTGTGCTGACAGCGTGGAGCCTGCTTGGGATTCTCCCTCTCAAAATAAAGAAATAAATGTAAATCAATAAAGTAAAACAGTTAACCCTTCCAACATTAGGAAGGCATCCGTGACCCTCTGAATGTCTCCCCGTCTGCCGTGCAGCAGAGCGGCACTGACGGCTTCAGGTCTGGAGGGCCCTGGACTCCACCAGGGTCACACGAGTCATCCTGGTGAGCTTGACGAACACTGTGTCTGTCAGGACTCCCAGATGGCTCTGTGTGTGACACATCGGCTAAAGCGAAAGAGAAATGTCGTACTACTAGCATTTTAGTGTAAATTCTGGTTGTGATAACCGGGAGAATTATGCTTATCGATTATGTTACGGCTTTGCACTAATTTGAAGAAATCAGAGTCCTTAATTCCTCAGTAGAGTTGAGTTTATTTGAGAATAAACTATTAAACTATCGACGGAATCGCATGCATACATGCCTATGTTTCCTGGGAAGTACGGTGATCTTTTTTCTTCAGTAAGCAAGACTAGAATATTCTAATAATGCGTGTGTGGGTCGTAGCGTGTGTTTTCTTCCTTAATCGTTTTGCTTTTAGGATGAATATTGAGGGCAAATTCAATTTTAAATATTAAGTTTTAAAATCTTAGAAGTTGTCCTGTCATTTGACGTGACTCCTGTCTCCGGGCACCCTGTTCTCTGGCGCGGCGTACATTCTGTCCCCTCCCACCGTCCCCATGCGCAGCTCGCTGTCCACACGCCTGTGCTTCTGGCTCACGTGCTCTTTTCCGTGGGTGTTGACGCAGGGGCAGTCAGGCGACCTTTCCCGTTGCTGCCTGCGGTGAGGAGCTGGCCCAGGGTTTACTGGTCAGAGTCGGTGCTGCCACCAACCAGCTCTGTGGCCCTGGGCAAGTGGCTTGATTCTGTGTCTTGCTAAGTAAACGTCCC